GTATCAATTTCAAAAATTAATGCTCAATAAATAATAGTGATTCGCCGCGATACATTATGGATGATTTGGTAAATATAGAGGTACTTTGAAGTAAAGGTACTTTTTAAGGGAGAAATACAGAGGAGAAGTGGTTGGATAAATACGTTCCGGTTAAATTCCTAAAATCAACAGACCTAGGAAATATTCTGTGTAAAAGTCGGTCCTCGTGGAAAGCACCTGTTACGGACAATTGGTATTCTGAATGCGAAGTTTTAACTTTGTGGATATAAAAAATTGGAATAAATATTTTAAAATGAATTAATTCGAATTTTATTATTTACTTTTTTGTATTAAATCGCTACAATCATTCGAACTCAATCATTTCTGCCCTCGATTTCTTACATAGTGAAGTTAGATTTCGACTTTATAATATCGGTAATTATTGTACAGGATGGTTCAAAATCATTATATTGTTCAAAAAAATTTTGTCGGTTTTAGTTTTTTTGGCATATATTAAGATTAACTAACCCTAAACAAATTTTGTTAACAACATTTTTTGATTAAATCAACAATAAGGATATAACCTCAAAAATATTAATTTTTGTAGCATACTATTCAGTGGGAAATTAAAATTTCAAGTTAGCAAAAATTTTTATTAACAAACACTGTTCCTGAAGTAATTCTAAACAAATTTTGTTAACAACATTTTTTGATTAAATCAACAATAAGGATATAACCTCAAAAATATTAATTTTTGAAGCATACTATTCAGTGGGAAATTAAAGAAAAATCAAAAGTATTTGAAAAAATGTTTTAATTTTATTAATTTAACTTATTATTTATGGAAATTGAATTGATTAAGTTTGATTTTAGGGAAAATGAGGATTTTTAAGAAAGATTTTAATCGAAAAAATTGGGGGTTATGTAAATTGAAGATTTGAATCTAGTGTTTTGAATCAAACTTCATCTTTATGACGTTCAAATTAATTATAATATTAATGAATCTATATTCGTTAGGAAATTCGTGTGAAAATGAAATTTATTGTAAAGGGCGTTTATACGAATTACTCCAAGAAAACATTACCGATGAGTTTCTTGATAAAAAAGTGTTGGTGGATCCCGATAAATTACTTTTATCATTTCGAAATTTAACAAAAAATATCAATCAAGAAGAAAATTTTGCATCTTTTTTCCATAAAAATTTCGGCGATGAAAAAGAAGGGGTTGATTACGAGATGTGGAATTTACCAGATAAAAAGTTAATCGAAGCGAAAATTAATAATGACAGGTTAATAACAATTAATAAGAATAATAAAGGTTTAAAATGAATTTGATTGCAGAAATTTGATAACTTTCGTTAATTATTTAAAAGAATTATTATTAAAAATGGGGTTAAAAGGAACTGAATTAATGAGAAAACATAAAAAGCGTTACTCTCTTCTCTCTACAACCGGGTTTATCCAAGATCACAAAGACTCTAAAGAAGCGTCGTATTGGGAAACTTATTGGGTCGTAAACGGTCTGCTTTTTTATGAAATGTACGAATCAACGAAAGGTAATAAAATTAATTAATTTAGCTGTCCCTCTTAAAAATCGATGATTTTTTTTTTAATCGGTAGGAAATGACTCAAAAGATGTATTAATGATAAAAAAATGGTACTTGAGAGTACTGTCAAGCATTAAAATATATTTTAGTGATGTTGCAGTATACAAAAACTTTTATTGCTAATATAAAAATAATACATTTTTTATTATGTTAGAAAATAAGTAGAACTTGCTTTAGCTAAAACACATTATGACATTCAGAAAAACAGTTCTTTCTATCATTACAACATAAATAAACATTGCATAGCTTTGGCAGAACAATTTTCACAACTTCCTCTTTCTTTTGAACTTGCGCTAGGACATTTTCGTGGATGCAGTAAATTTGAATATTTACTTATTTGAATATTTTCGCATAATCTAAGTGTCAAAAAAGATGCTAATTCAAAAATTCCTGGAAGCCGTCTTTATTGAAATTAAATAATGAGACTTATTTTAAATTGAAGCTTAAAGCTTTCTCTTTAAAATGATGTATAATAATTGTTGGGTTGGATTAGAAAAATATTGAGAAAAAAGATGTTGAAACAAAACTTACATATTCGTATAACCTAAAAGTGTCAAAAAAGATGCTAATTTAAAAATTCCTGGAAGCCGTATTGATTGAAATTAAGGAATGAAACTTATTTTAAATTAAAGCTCAAAGCTTTCTCTTTAAAATGATGTATAATAATTGTTGGGTTGGAT